TGCACTCACAAAATTGGTTGGTAAATTCAACGAGTGGGTGCATCGACCTGGTATATCAAGTTTCTGCAATTTTTTACGGCAAATCAGTAGATTTTCGGGATGTAGATTGCTTACTTTCAATTCATGAATGAATAAAGCAACGACATGGTTGAACTTCTTTGCATGGAAAGACGTTTAAAATAACAAAATCAAGACGTATTTAATGCAATTGCATTTATATCGAGTCAATTTCTTTTCAATAATATAACGGGATTTTTACTACCGGTGATTTGGGTATTTTAGCCCCAAAATACCTTTAAATCGACTTTATCTTCTAGGAGTTCGACAGAATTTTTCCTTTCTTCGCTTAAATTATTCCGTAGCACTTTTCTTCAAGAATCTGATAAGATTTTGCTTGAGGCAGATCAAAAAACTTAAATTCGATCGAATAGCTTTCTACTTTCACAATACACGGTCTCGTCAAGGTGCGTCTTTGACCTCGCAGTGTTGGATCGTGAATTCTCTTTTTATGCTGTTTGCCTATTTTGAAATCTCTGTAAATGAAAACTAAAGGGGTTGATATGTGCGAGTTAATGACGCGCCTTATCAACACATTGTGTTGGAGTTCACTGCTTGTTTTTTCTTATGATTTCTTTTTGTTTTTTCCCTTCTGCTTTGCGCTTCTCTCTAGAGCACCTCAAAATTCATAATTTGGCGCTTTTTCGTGACGTCAGTCGTAAGTTAGTGACGTCAGTGGCAAAACCACGCGCCACCCGCCACCCTCTTTCTTCTCTATGTGAAATGCTTCAACGAAAATGAACGGCTCGTGAAATCCTTCAAAAGTTTTCCTATTTTTTATATTTTTTAATTTTAAAAGTTCCCTGTAAGTGTTACACTTCGTGTGATTTCAATTGTTCCATCGTAGTATCGTACATATTTGTAAACCAATATTTTGTGTCCGTAACCGGATGCTCGCATTTAATAATGTTTAGAAAGTTCATCGGTAAGTAGGTCCTCTTCACTTTTCTTTTGAACACTAATTTTCCCCAATGATTGTGACAGTTCAGGCTTTAGAATTAGATCATTTTTAAAACTGTCGGATGAATGAATCCGTCTTTTGATATCATCCTGAAATTTGACTCAGAAGTGATTGAAAGAAGGTGTCTCCGCGCTTAGGTTGTTCAGTTAGGTTAAGTCGACGGAATGTCAAATTACAGAACAAAGGCAATCAGGACTGAAAGTCCCTTCACTAACCCAGTGCATTGGAGCAATATATAGTAGCTTTTCTTTTGTTTGATTTGCTGCAATCAGATTTGTTGATGTCCACCATAAGTTAGGGTCGAGAAGTCAGACATCCTGAAAGCTGACATTTGGCTACGAACTGTCCAGGAACTGTCTATGTCTTGTCATGCTCATGAAAATGCGAAGGCTTCCTAGTGGTCAATCAAATTTGTAACATTCTCACAGTCCACTCTGATTTAATCTTGATCCCATTATTTATGTTTCCTCCACCTCAATAGTCATCCTTCAATTATAAAAACTTAACATTTACCCATGGATGGTTTAGGTTAGGTAAACCGAAGCCTCACTTACGGTCTCCACATTTTCCCAATCTGCTCCTGCATGCAATTGCGCATTGGCAGCAAACTTTCCCTAAATGTTCCATTTTTTGTAGACCATTGGTGAAATGTTTCTTATCAACAATGAACGCAACAAAATTTTGTTACTAAACTAAGTACTGAACTTAGTTCAGGGATGGTATCATTTTGATTCAGTATTCCTTTTAAAGGCTTTGTTTTACCTACCTGTTGTGGCATATTTATTGAACCTCAAGTGATTCAGCACCGATTAACCTAACTTTCCAAGTAGAGGTTCGTAGACCTCATCTATTCAGTCCATTAAATGTTATTCAAGAAAGAAAACTTTTTTTCTGTCTTACCTGTCATCGTTCATGTTCTTTCTTATCTCTCACAACTTTCTTTGATCCAACAGGTGTCAGACACCCTCATATTTCCTTGTCAAAGCACACCTTTTTTAGGAGAGACTGAAGCACTGAATTCATGCTTTTAATGGCAGATTTGGTGCCTTTACACTGGATGTTGCTGCAAGGCTTTCAATAACTTGATGGCTAAATCTCTGATAATTTTTTATTTCCTTCTGGGAAAACTAAAAACTTTCCTCGCAATTTTGTGCCATATTTTCAGTATAAGGGAAGAAAATTCATAGATAATTTCTTTAGAAACTGTTGGTTAGTTTCCCTTAAAAAAAAATGAAGCACTAATGAAGACTTACAACGTAGCAATCTGAAGTTGCGTTTTTCAACCTCAGCCATTGAAGCACTACCAAAGAGGTTTTAGTTGAATTCTATCAGCCTGAAAAAGTCAAACCAAACTAGCCTTGAATTGGCATCATCAGGCCATTTCATTCACTCAGGTGGCACAATCGAGGAGTATTTTTTTTTAGTAAAACAAGTTTCCATTTAAGCTCGCCCTAGGCTTTTCAAATCCCAGGAAATCCCCCATATTTCTCGTCAAAATTTTCTTCTGATTCAGCAAAATCGAACGTCACCATCTCTGTTGAGATTAAACTGACATCTTCCCTGTTTTCTTTTCCAGACATTGGTGCCAATCTGACGGATCCTATGTATGAAGGGTTGTATCGGGGATCACAAAAACATCAGGCAGATCTAAAGAACGTTTTGGAACGTGCATGGTCAAACGGGCTGGACAAAATCATCATCACTGGAGGAAGTTTAGAAGAAAGTCATTCTGCTCACAAACTTGCACTCTCTGATGGTAAGTGAAGTGTTCTTCCTGGCAGTGATACTTCTAGGTCTTACGATTGTAACCGAGTCAATCCCCACGAAAAAAAATGCAACTTTTAAATGGTTTATAATTAGAATTTTGAGGGATGCAGAATCTCCCCAACCATGCCTGACCGGACTAGCCAAGTGAATTGGGCCAAACCAGATGGTTTTATATTTTAAAACTGCATTTGATCAGTTAGAAAGTTCAATTTTGGGTTAAAAAAATTGAATGGTGCATTGTACCACCTTTGTTCTTTGGGGATTGATACCAGAAATTTGGTTGAACATAGCAGAGAGGTTGATTGAATTTACGGGACAGTCCGAACCTTTCTAGAGGTGTCGTGAGATATGTCGACATTTGTTTACTTTTGATTTGCAGGCGCTTTCGTGTCACTGCTATCCCCATGAATACATGACTTTTGCAGAAGTAAAAATACAAGCTTGGATAGGTTTTTTAATACGTTCAAACCGTGTAACACTTCAATTTTTAGCCACACAGAAATCACAACCACCTAAAAGTTGCAGACCGCAACGGATAAGTAGTTTCTTTACGGTGCGATCATGATACGGATGTCTTTAAGGTGGACAGTAGTAGCAAATGTCGCTTTGTGCAGAGGCGTAAATTCGTTGCCTACACCTGCAAATCGAAAGTAAACTAATGCCAACTTGTCTGACGACACCTCTACGCCCCTGAAAGTTCATTTTATTGTAAGTATGGTTGAATTAAGAAATGTATCGATTAGAAATAAAAACAACTAAAAGTCATACCACCAACCACCTGACCTCTTGTATTTGCTTTTGAGCAGTATACATCAGAAAGGGATAAAGAGTCTATGGAACGCTTACAGAGTAACTAATCAAATTTTCAGTTGATTGTCCGTTTATTTAGTTGAGGAGTGACCGATTACTTCTATAAATTCATTTCATCAAGCAGCCTGAATTTTCAGCAACATAAATCATGAGAAATCAGTATCCTCACTTTCCAAAGTCTCTAATGAGCAAAGAAATTGGAGATTAATTCAAACCAACGTGCAAAATGCAGTTAAAATGGCCACATGTCCAACTTATCACAAGTTTTTTGCTCAAAACCATAGAAAAGTGAGACATATGCAACAGATTTAGGGAAGTCTAGCATTTCAGAAGTGATCTCACTTTCTTGATCTCTGGGTTGAATCTAAATGAAGAAAATTGTTTTCTCTAGGATATACTTTGCAAAAATATTTTATATGCAGCTCTGCATTTTCATACGTCATAATTGATAGGCAGCTTCTTGAGAGCCAAAGTTACGCTATTGCAAAGTTACAATCATCCTTTTTCTCTTTAGGTCATCATTTTTTGTTAACCGTTTAAACCTTTTGACTACCCATTATTGTGATTAAGAAACTCACCGTTCACTGGAGCAAGGCTCTGTATGTTAATTCCCAAGTCCTGGAGGTTCGCTTTTATATAATCTGTTGAAGTAAATCAGTTGAATATTATGTAGCATAATTTAACTGATCATTGGAAAAACTATTGAAATAATAACACATGTGACATATGTAGGTAGCTAGCAGCCAATCAGGCACTTTTGTTGTATACTGTTGAACGAGGTTAATTTTCCTTTCATGATAAACTAACCATTCCGATCACTGATGGATTGCCTTGTGAAAGATTTCAACATTAGCATAGATAATTTTCAGAACACAGTTTTCTTATCAATTCCATATGTCACCAAATTATACCAACTGGTTTAAAGAAAACCTTTTTGATGAAAAATGGACTGTTAAAACTTGCGATTCGTCAACCGTTGATCATACTTTGTACTTTTTATTTTGCTTCAGTCTTGGTTTTAAAACTCAACAAAGGAAATTTCACTTGAATTCCAGTAGAATCATAGGTTTTCAATCAAGTTTTGAAATGTTGACACCAATGGGGGCATTGACAATAAAGGAGATAAAAAAAGTTTGTGCTATCAGAGGATTTGAAAAAAAAGCTCATGAAACCAAAAAAAATAAAAATAAATAAAAGTAAATCTACAAAAATGTAATTTTGTCGATTTGTGTTTCTTCACTTGATGCACGTTGGCGGCTAATGATGCCTTGAAGAGTAGTACTTATTGCTTCTTAAAGTTTTTTCCTGATAACTTTACAAAGCGAAGCTCTGACTGTCCTTTCTAATTCGGACGTCTGTTTTTTATTTCAGTGTTGGTTGGCGACACAAAAATGTGCCAGATAAACTAAGTTTGGAAATAACTTCAGAGTTGGTCTGCTCCAGTGAACAAACCAGCATACAGAAATGCCTTCAGCAACTGGTAACGCGTCGACTGTCGGCAACACAGTGTCCTCCGGGCAGTCACTAACAAGTCCGTCCTCAGGAAATAACCAGGGCACTCTCGTGCGGCTCAGCAACGAAGAATGCGGTATCAAAGATGTCTGGGCATACAACATGTACGATGAATTCCGAACGATCCGTCAGATTGTCAGCAAGTACAAGTATGTCGCAATGGACACAGAATTCCCAGGCGTTGTTGCCCGACCCTACGGTGACTTCAAGAGCAATGCAGACTTCCAGTACCAACTCCTAAAATGCAACGTTGATCTATTGCGAATAATTCAGCTTGGACTGACCTTCCTGGACGAGGAAGGTAAGACAATCAATGGACCCTACACAACGTGGCAGTTCAACTTCAAATTCAATCTCTCCGAAGACATGTACGCCCAAGACAGTATCGACTTGCTCCAGAACTCAGGTATCCAGTTCAAAAAACACGAAGAAGAAGGCATCAATCCTGTCGACTTTGCAGTCCTTCTCATGACTTCTGGAATTGTTCTGATGGACAACGTTAAATTTTTGTCCTTCCATTCAGGCTATGACTTTGGGTATCTCTTGAAACTCCTAACAAATGAGAAACTACCCCAAGAGGAGTCTGAGTTCTTTGATATTCTCCGTACGTACTTTCCAGTTGTTTACGATGTCAAGTACCTAATGAAAAGTTGCAAGAACTTGAAAGGCGGTTTGCAAGAGGTTGCGGATCAGTTAGAACTTGCACGGATAGGACCTCAGCACCAAGCTGGCAGTGATTCGCTGCTGACAGGCATGGCTTTTTTCAAGATGCGTGAGATGTTCTTCGAAGACAACATAGATGATGCCAAGTATTGTGGACATTTGTACGGCCTAGGAACCTCTTTCATCGTGAATGGAAACAACAGTAACAGCAATCCTGCCAGCACAAACGCCACCACGAATAGCAGTAATTCAAATTCAAGCAGTGCGACTACTAATGCAAACTCGGGATCAGCAAATGCTACGAACACTAATGAAAGTGGAGACAGTAATAACACTTCATAAGGGAATTCAGTGCTGCCTCTCAGTAATTTTTTTCTTTTTTTAATGTTTTGTCAGAAAATGTGAAGAAGTGTCGTGAATGCAGCCCCGATTTGTTATTTATTTATTTTAAGGTATTTGTAAGTATGTTAAAAACCATTTTGTACTTTTATTACGATTTTTACTGTAACAGCTCTGTTGGCTGTTAGATCAACTATTTTTCGCTAGGAATGAATCTACATTATGTGCTGTAAAATGTAAAGATAATTAGTCAATCTTCTTTCATCAAGAGGGTCATCAATTTTGTAAAAAAAAAGAAAGAAAAAAAAATTACTTTTGAGAAAAATTTGGGTAACATTGTTGGCATTATTCATGTTTTTAATATCTGTGAGTCCTGTAATTAAGTCCTCTAAGCACACCATTAGTCCTCAAATCTTGAGGAGAAGGTAAATGTTCTTTAAAAATTTCCAGGACAAAATTTTGATCAGAATTTATATCCTTTATGAAAAAAATAGATTTTTTCTTCATTTTTTCAAAACCCCAGAGCCATTTTCTTTTACTTGTTCTCCAATTATTGCAAAGAAATCGATATCCATTTTTATTTTTCAGCTATTACTCTGTTCATTACAATATTTTTTTTGTTTTTCCATCAGAAGAAATTATCACTGAAAAGGTTTTTTCGTTTAAGATATTTACCAAAAATAAATGAATTGTGAAAGAATGTTCTCAAGCGAAACTAACGTGGTTTTTAAATTTTTTTCTCCCTTGACACTCTTGTTCTAGTTAATGTTAATTTGCCTTTTACACGAATTTTAAAGTCACAGTTTTAAACTAACTTTTTTCTTCATTCTCTTAGATTTGTGATGATTTTTCGTTTCCAAATTTATGCAGCTCAGCAAGGAAAGTGCTAAAGACCCATACTGAGTTTTTAAAACCTACAGAGATGTTGAAAATAGAAGAGTAAGAAAGAAAGAAAAAATTTATTTCTCTTAATGATCAATTATTTATCATTGATGGAAAACAAGTTCCATCATTTTTTCAACTCGAAATTCATTTGGTCCAATCCGGGCATTTCAACTGCCGATGATGATATTCAGGGTTGCAAAATTGTATGAAAAATAATATCATGAAATTTCATGTGAAATATTTCATGAAATTTCAGAAATTTGTGAAGGATATTGAGGTGTGCCGGTCCCTCTTCATGTTTCGCAAAATGTAAAAATTGTGACTTTCTTTGATTTTTGTGTGTCTGAGTGCTGGTCGCATACTCTAGCCCCTGAAAAATATGGAATATTCACAGCCTCGTGAAATTCCATGAAATGTATCGCTGAAATTTCCAATCTTCCATTTCTTTTTACGTTTCATGCCACCCTGATGATAGTATTTTACAGTAGATAAAGGCAATTGGTATGCACTAAAAATGTTGATTTCCATTTAGGTTTCATCATTTAAGTCTCTGTGTATTTATCATTTGAGCCGTTTGGAGGAGGAATAATTTAAATTCATTTCGATGCTTTTAAATTATTCGTTTTTAATTTTTGTTCTCCAACTGACAAAATATTATTAAACTGTTAAAGCAAATTTTTTGTAAGATATGCTGCTTGAAAATGTATGATGTTGTAGTAAAGTCACACTGCTTTCACTCTGGGCAGCTCATTTTCCTAAGATTCAATCCTTGATTTCTCATGACTTATGGCTGAGTATTTAAATCGGTCAAAAGTAAAAGTTGAAACCAATCTTTACGTGAATATCGACCAGATTCTCAAAATTAGTTTACTCGTCAAGTTCATTAATTTTACTGCAAAATTTTCCAATGATTAACGAATGATCCAAAATAAGATTCTCTTCTGGTTGCAGAGCGTCTTTTCTGCACCGTTGGTTGTCATCCGACCAGGTGCAACGAGTTTGAGAGCTCAGGAAATCCAGATGACTACTTAGAATCCCTTTCGAAGCTCATCAGAAGTGCTCATGGAAAAGTCGTTGCCGTCGGAGAAACAGGATTAGACTATGATAGACTCCAGTTTTGCTCAAAAGAAATCCAAAAGAAGTATTGTTTCCCTTTATTTTAGTTGACATCTACTAGTTTTGAAAGGCAATGGATGTTGGAAGGAAATGAATTGGCATTGAAATTAAAGAATTCCGTATTTCAAATGCAACATTTCAAAATTTCTGCTGTCAGTATATTTTTATTAAAGGATACTGGGAGTCAGCCTGTCTCAATGAACTTACAGGCCCCAAAAGCAAGTTATTCCCATGGTGCTAAGTAACACAATAGAAGTTAGAAATGTTGCATTTTGAGATACATGGTTCTCTTGAATCACCACTTAATGCTATGTCGTACCATGGAAGAAGTATTGAATTTTGTAAAAATTCAAGAATCCGCTCATGATATTGAACAGTCGAAAATAGAGAATTGCATGGCGACACAAAATTAATCGAACATTTCATAAATGACTGACTTAAAATATATAGATGGTTTGTACGAACCACATATCCTAATTCTGGTGTTTGAAAATTTATTATATAATTATATTTTTTCAATAGGAAGTAAGACAACTTTTAACTGCTCGAAATTTTCACTGAATATTTCGCAAGTAGGAAAATAGTTGTTGAAATTTTTCAGATACCTACCTACGTTGATTAGCTTTCCAATGCAAAAGTAAGTTTCTGTGGGCAATGCCATGCCAAAATCAGATATGTGGCTCAGGAGTTTAGGCATTGAAATGTCTGATTAAAATGTTAGCAGAGCGTTCAGCATGCAGAAGATTTAAGTACTGTGGTGTCAACTCAACTTCCTATTTAACTGCGCTTAAAACCCTGGAGATACCTACTTGAAAATTAATTTGGAAATTTCGGAACTACCTGAAGTCTGCTGCACAAGCATTTTATGTAATACATGCATGCATATGAATATTTGAGAGTTCAGCATGACTTGAAGATGAATGCAAAATAAATAAATGAAAAAAGAGTGGCAAAAAAATTACATGCTCAATTTAATTGAAATTGAGCATTGAAAGTTTCGGTGAGCAATCTGAAGAGTGAAATTTGGTGATAGTATGCGAATGCTGAAAATATTCCCATTGCCTCTCCTCGCACTAAAATCTTTAATATACAGGGTTATTCAAAAGTCACGCACCACTGGCCATAACTTCAGTTCTAATTATGATATCGATTTGCGGTTTATGACGTTTTTCCTCATATCGAAGGGGGAACTTTTTTAAGAACTTTCCAGTTTTTGACTCCTTCAGAGGGAGAAGGGGCGAGGGGCAACTCAAACATTTCAAATGGCCACCCCCCTCATGGCCGGTGGTGAGTGACTTTTGAATGACCCTGTATGTAGATTAAATAATTATAAAATTGAAAAATTGATTACTTGTAAGAGTGTCATCAGCATAGTTTTGTTTCTTCGCCAGATATTTTGAGATTCAATTGAAACTGAGTAAGTTACATGATTTACCCCTATTTCTTCACAATCGAAACACTGGTGGAGACTTTTTGGAAATTCTTCAGAAGCATGCTGGAGATTTACCTAAAGGGGTCGTCCACTCATTTGACGGCTCATTGGAAGAAATGGAATCACTAGTTAATCTCGGCTATTACATTGGTATAAATGGGTGGTAAGTATAGTGAAGTAAATAAATTTGGAATTTAAGTGATCTGGGTCAGAGTAATAGAACAACATGCACGACATCTGAGAATGAATGTCTTCATAAACTTTCAGTCCAAAGTACTATCATCTAAGAAGATTTCAGAGAATTTTTTTCAGACAAATCAGTGAATGGAACAAATTTTAAATGCATGCGTTATGAAAAGGATTTTTCCTGATCTCCATGCTTGGAATAATTGTCCTGGGGCTGTAAATTTTATTTTATATCCTAAAATTCTATTATTATTATAGTTCTGTCCTCTTTTTATTCTACCTCTTTTTACTCTAATTAAGGCGTTTTTCGACACATTCTGTGAGGGAAAAGAAGGAAGAGGGTTCTCTATGAATTTAACTGTAAGTGAAGGAAACCACTTAGTATAAAAAAATAAAAAGATTACACAAACGGGAAGAAAGGGGGGGAAAGAAGTCAACGATATAGGCCCCTGGGCGTGCGCTCATACGATAAATCCGGATTCAAGCGCAGTACTGATGTAACAAATGTAAAAAACACTTAATCTAACCGATTACTTAGTTCACTGATGGGTGGTATATCAAGTTTTTTCTTTACTTTTATTGCTTCTATCAGCTCTCTAAAAACCAAAGAAAATTTAGAGGTCGTCAAAAAAATCCCTGAAGATAAACTGCTGTTGGAAACGGACTGCCCTTGGTGTGAGGTGAGACCGACCCATGCTGGTTTTCCGTTCGTCAAAACAAAATTTGATGCAGTGAAAAAGGAGAAATGGAACCCCGACCTGATGGTGAAGAGTAGAAATGAACCAGCAACAATGACGTAACTACTTTTTGAATATTTAACTGATTTCTATTAAGAGTAAAATTACCACTTTATGTACTTTCTAATCTTTTTCCTAAAAAAAGATTCCATAGATTCCAAATCACCTGAGAGCATGGGTGCAAAATGCTGAAAATTATAATGGCAGAAGAATGCTTAGTGCTCAGTCAACTGGAAAAGAAATAAGAAACATATTATCTTGATTGCCATGCCTCAATATTTCTGCTCAAAATGACAGGCTCTAAAGAAAAATCCACTTGATGATCGTAGTTTGGGAAGCTTTCTGTAGCTCCTAATTCTGAGCGAAAATAAAAAAATCCTGTGGTTAAGAAGTTTGTGTTCCTATCAATTATTTCAATGAATTGAAAACTTTTATGAGACATGTATTCATGACCTTGTCAAAGGGATAAAGGAAATGAAATATTCCTGTGCAAAGATATATGGTCATTGATTAAAGTTTTCCAACTTTCATTTTCGGAAAGAGCATACTATGATGATTTTTTGGTAGAAGATCTCATTTAATATTTCATCAAATTTCTCTTTTTTGCAGACAAATACTGGAAATAGTAGCAGCCATTCGGGACGAACTCGAGGAAAAATTATGTGAAATTGTCTACAACAACACCATAAGACTTTTTTTTAACAAATGATTTCAGACTGAAAAATTGTCAACTTTCTTGATACTAATTTTTCAGGAATAAATATTTTCATCTGCCATTGTTGTGATATTTACTTTGTTTTGAAGTTAAATAAATCCTATTGCATCATTGTATGAAATCTTGTAACTAATTCAATGGATCTAAGCTAAGGATTTTAAAAAAAGTTAGAAGTTAAAGATTAAAACTTAAGATCATACTCCAGTGATCAGGCTCTACTAGCTGTTATTCATTGATCAAGATTGTAAGATGGGTCATTCGTGATTTTAAGATTTGACACAAAATTCAGGGAGGAAAAGTTAGAGCTGCATCTTTAACCAAAACTTAAGAATAAACCCAATCAGAGCAATGACCTGCTTGAAAAGATAAAGTTTGAAAATTAAATACAAGAGGAATAAAAATTAACTGATTTGCACAACGATTATACCTACAATTTTTTGGCTAACTGAGGATGGACTAAAATGCGAAAAACGCCTGCTGAATTATTTTGATGATTGATGTACAGGTGAGCTTGTGTTTATAATTTAAAATGTTCACACTTGCGGAGTATGATGGATGCATAAATGCAAGAGTTATTGAAAAAAAAAAAAAAAAATTACACAAATGCCTCTGCTGACGATACAATTATGCATTTTCGCAAAAAATTAATTTCATGAATACCTAAAGCCCCCAAAACAACAAAGCTCTAATTAGGATGAAAATGAGAAATTTATCAAGTTTTAAACTCTGAGAAGGTAGGAAAAAAAAAGAAAAAAAAAAGATGAAGACATTTATAACTTTCCTGATATTTTATTGGCAAAAAAAATAAACAAACAATATCTTAAAACATCCGATATATACAATAGACTAAATTAAAACATCTCATTCAATATAAATAAAATAACTAACTAAAGCCAGATTGTGTGTGCAGCACTTGCAGCTGAAAATAAAGTGAGATTAATGCGAACTGAGAGAACAGGAGGCAGATTTTTGGACGCTCCTTAATTTTTCAATTTATGTAAAACTAAATGTTATGATGAAGATAATCTGATATTAATAGATAACATCTTTTACACCGGAAAATTCAGGAAGAAGTATAAGTTATTTTTACAAGTGCTGCAAACAACAAAATATTTTATAGACACAAGAGATAGAAATTACAGGGAAATATAAACATGGCAGGTACCCGACAGTCCAAATTTTAAGTAAAATTTAGATACATAAAGATGAGAGTGCAGGGTTGATGTAACTGAGCTTTTATTGATTAAAAAACAGTTTTTAAAGTGAAAAATCATGCTCGAAAAAACCCATGCTTACAGGTTAAGGAGAAAGAAGGACAGAAAATGACAACTATCAGGACATCTTCAGCAATAAGAGCGTATGATGGAGTAGATCGTGAGCTTGAAGCATTTGATGTACTTAAACGTTTCTCAAGAATGCATCAAAGAATGAAGACGATTCAGGGGGAATAATTGCCTTTTTAATGCTCCGCGTTTCTCAAAAATGCGAGTTGAAATGAGGAGGACAAAAACATTTTTACTCATTTGAGGCGCTTTTGTAACTTGGGATAATGCAGAACAATACACAACAGTGTTACTCCAAAACTTTAACATGAAGAGTGCGTTATCTGCTAATGCTCTTGTAACATATGTATGAATAAGAATTTCAAGTGTCCAGAGGATATTATAGGACTCTTATCAAAATTATTTGGAAATTTTAATCTTTCTTTCCTAAAAGCCTCGTCCATGGTAAAAAAAAAAGCATGAGTAATAATTATTGTGTGACTGATAACAAATGGTTCATTCACAAAAAATATCCTTTTAAGGGAGCATCTAACATTTCATGTATTACTGAACATTTTATGAGGTGTTCGGCATTTACACTGTTCAAAATTCAGACCAAAGGTCAAGAAATTGAAATTTTAGGATCGTTATACATTTAATCACCATGATTCATTTATGTTGCATATTAACTCAAACAATAACAATAATTTTTTTCTGTAATCTTATAACAAAGGTTACAAAGAGAGGAATGCCTAAAGTTCAGTGTTATTATAGTTAAAAGAGATAGGAGAAGAGAAAATGGTTAAGTATGATCAGCATGCAGAGAGTTGAATAATTATCGATTAAAATTTCATTTTTCCATGAAGCTATACTATAAGGAGTTTTGAATCAGATTCAGCCTCTAATCACTTGTTCAGTACACACGGTTGCTGCAGAATTTGGAAGAAGAAATTCCCTGACAAATTTTGGTAAAATTCTCGAACATTTGAGTATATGCTGGATAATTAGAATGATATAAAAATTGTCAAGCATGCAACATCTGTTGTTGGAAATGTAAAACACATTCTAAAAAGAAAAAAAAAAGGTGATTTTGGTGAAAATTTTTTCTAGACATTTCCCGGTTTTACGCAGACTGTAGCAACCCTGAGTACGTACAAAGTTGATCATAGCATTTACAGGGAAAAAGTTCACCGAAGGACTGATTTCTCATTAAATCTTCTAAATCTAACTCTAATCAAGAACTGTGATGAGAAAAATGTACCAGTATAAAAGGCAGGGTAGATTTTTGTTAATAACAATCAAAAATTTAATCTTGAAAGGTAGGCTTTGAGAAGGAGTTAGTATACTCACTCCAAGGCATGGTTTCAGTAGATGGATTAAATCTTCTGAGTGAGATTGAAACAATTATCAACAGACTCAGGAGTTAATAAATTTTAAATATTTAGCAGCTAGTTTAAGTATTTTTCGCAGTTTACAGTAAACCTCCACTCCAATGTCAAACAAGCACAAGAAAAATTGCAAGGAACTTCCACATGTAATGAACCAATTGCACTTACATCAAGAACTTAGACTGAATTGTTTTCTGTACGTTGCTGCTTCATGTGCCCAACATGAAGCAGGCTATGGAGCTCAAAATCTAGGTGCACCATACCATTGGTTAAATCATACCTTTGTCGGCCCTTGACGCCGTTCAAAAATTAAAAACACTGTCAGGTGCCAGCACCCAATCTCACTATGAACGTGTTTACAAATATGAGTAGCAATGATTAAAATATCTTCACCAACAAAACTTGGAAACATCTTATCTCAATTTGCAACTTTGTAGACTTCCATCATACTGAATTTTTCAATTGAAAAACTGGTCAATGTAATTTCTTGAAGACTTCTGAGATTACTCTTCTTTGCTGATGGAATGCTCTAAGAAAATTTACAGCAATTAGGTTGGATTTCTTCTTTTAAAAATATACAGCAGTAGCGGAAAATTTGAAATGTCACAATCAAGATAAGACATATTAAAGTTTAGCGGATCATGTGTTCTAGTGATACTTGCAATTGACTCATTACAGCTGCGCTTAAACATTTGACGGTCAATTGTTGGACATCAAGTTCTACAGACCTTAAAAATTAAATATTTTGAGGATCAATTGATTTCACAACCTGGGTAGAAAAAAAACAGGACGGGGTAAGAAAATGTATACAAAAAGGTTCGAGTCATGGAACAGAGAATTAGACTGCTTACAAAGAACTCTCGCTAACTGTTGAAATGTTTTGCTAAAACTATGCATAAAAACTATCAATAACAATAACTAAAATTAAATAATAACAATGGGTACATCGTTCTATTATCAGTCTGTGACCCTTCAAATAATCGGTTACCACAACCATGCATCATTTACAATTTGTAAGTTTCTCCAGTATGATGGAACACTGAAATTCATTGTTTTCCTAAAAAGTCACATGAGTTATCTTCACGCCAAAAATATTTTGTACATGCTTTCTCAAGATAAGAAGAATGATATCGACTGTTGTTTCACATTCGTTGTATTCGTTTTCATGGGACTTCCTTCAGAGACTAAATAAGCGGTAGATTCAAGAGCCTTCGATTCAACTTTTTACTTATCAAAACTCAAGAGTTCAAGATATCTTGATCAATGAGGATAATAAGGCTCAAAAACCTCAGTCACTTGCACCTTTTTAAAAATGAACAATTTAATCACATAGCATTTAATAAAAATGTGCAAAATGACGTATTTAAACAGAGAAAATAGGTTAGAGGTCTCATTACTCTGAAAGGCTTAGTGTAAAATTAAAGCTCTAAGTCCTTGTTTCGCATTCTGCATGTTCTGTTTAGACTTCAATTTTAGACAAGAAGAATGCTCTTTTGACAAACTCAATACTGCCTTTACCTCAATTTTATCGAAAATTTCGTGCTAAACGCTCAAAATTCTATGACAAGTTTTTGATAGGTTTTGTCAATAACTCAAGTGATGAACAGAGGGGACCAAATGCAGATTCTATTGACAGTGGGAAAGATTACTGTGGTTTTGGCAGGACAAAAAATCATAGATGGTATTGAAAAATGATATTTTGAAAACTTTTGACTTAAAAAGCACAGAAGAAACTTCTTCGAAAGGCTAATTGACGTTGATACGCCTTTCGCGTCAGACTCAGTTACTAGTTGAAGTAGAGTAGGTGATATTTTAAAAATTTGATGGAGTAAGTTAAAATAAATGAAAAATTTTGATGATGTACATCTGAAGATTTTTACAGCAAAATTACCACACACAAAGGGAAATACTTCTCCAACAAGTGCTCAACATTTTAGGGTAAGCACATCATCTGCCAAACCAGAATAAGCTGTTAGTTAAATAACTTCTTGGAAGAATTCTCTCCCCCAATTCTGTTCGATGTTCAGTTACAGTGCAGGGTCCCGATGAACCAATTTTGAAAGATGGATTAGCAAAACTTTGCTATTGACTAAAGACATGAATATACATTTATACACAGCTATCTAAACAATATCATAGAAATATGTACAAGATTAAATTAATTGATTAGATAACAGTATAAAAAAATCATAAGACTCAATACAACTTTCACTTATCAAGTTGAGGGAGGCCTTTTGGCCTGAGTACATGCTTCCTGATCAGATTTTCACAGCATAGCGATCAGAAGTGAATTGATACAATGATTAATTTTGGAAAACGAGGTGATTCTTTGCGAATCAAAGTGAGCTGAGGCCAAACTTTACTGCATTTTTCAACAAGAAAATACTATTCCTAGTTCATTAATAGAAACGACATAAAAACCATTGATGTCGCTATGCAAATAAATGTTTTTGTAAATAAGTCTGAAATAGTAGTTCCTATTACAAAATTTACTCCAATTTACTCCAAACCACATTTTGAAATGAGAACTACTATTCCACGCCCAACATTAGAAACAAAATCAGTGCTATTAGTTTCCCTTCGAAGAAAGGTGCTGTTCTGGATGAGTCAGGAAGAATAGTTCCATACAACAAAATATAGTCCAATTCAAGTAGGTACACAGTATAAGTTCTACTTGGTTTTGAGAAAGGTTTAAAATATTATAGAGAAATTAAATGACCACAAGATACTTTTAAAACGGGTACTTTGACTGAAGTCTATTGTATTTTTGACATGGGTTTTGAGGCAAGATATGAAAAAAAAAATTTAGAGAAAAGTGGCCAATTTTTAGTTTAAAATAGTTGAGACCATTATCCTTAAAATACTTTTGACAGAGGATTGAAATTAGTAAAAAAAATTTCGTTCGTCTTCATTATCGATGATTTTCATTTGCAATAGCATATCGTGACGGTAATTAGAGTGAACTTACAATCTCATTCAAACTGCAATCATCGTAAAACAAGATTAAAAAATCGGAATTCGTCTTGACAGCCAATTTTAGAAAATTAGCGAAATGCGCATAAAAAATTCATTGTAAACAGAATTAAAAAAAGAGACTTTTCATTTATAATTTACAGGAATGGTCGAATAGAGTGAGATATAAAAACCTTAGGTCAGAATAAACGTTGGAATTTATTTGATTTTAGTTGAAAATGTTGTTTCGACTTTCTGAGCGATCCACGAGTAGGTATCCAAAGCGTACTTTTGGGTAGAATTCAAGGCTAGGGAAGCATACTTCTTCATATTTTCAGGGGACATGTTTCCACTAAAAATGAAAAAAAATAACATCAATTACTAACTATTCAAATTTGTTCAAGAAAAGCTAACAATGCTCATGTTTCTGTTTGAAGGAGGCAAAATGAACAAATATTCAAGGCAATTAAAGCTCCTGAAAGCTTTGAAGCTCCTGGTAAGGCTACTTTTTGATATAAGTAGCAGATATTAAGCGATTTTGAAAATTCAAAAATTTCTTCTGGTATCCAGCGCCAGGATTCTTTTTATTGATGCATAGTATTTTCATTCCCTACAAGTAATTTGAAACTCTTTCACATGAGCAAGGAAATCATGATGAGAAATTTACACACGCTAAAAATCCTGATTTCCTGCACTCATCTCATTCGTCTATTATTTTCGAAGTGGGTTCCCTCTCAGTATTTGGCGATCTGAAATCTTCAGAATGATTCCAATTATGATCAGTTTGGAGGTAAAAAATTGAGCACTTATTAGCAGCGTTCTAAATTTAGGGCAAACGTTTAAGAGCCATCTTGGCTGGCAAACCTAATTTTTAGGAGCGATCAACAACTTTTTAGGGGCAAAAATTATTTTTATCATTTGTGTTACCTGACATGGCAGATGAAACTTTGCGAGGGGCGGAGATTAATAGTTCAAATGTATAACGGGATTGCGGTTTCCAAAATTTTCAACAGGTTCTATCTCAATTATTTACACATTATTTTTACGCAGACTCAAGAGTTTTGATATGAAAACTCCGTAACTTTAGTCACAATTTGCGTACGGCACCCAGTGAAGTTGGAATACTAGTTGATGGGTTTGAAAATACCGATAGTTTACGTTTTTAGGTCTTTGCCTTTATAAAGATGAGAGAGGCGAAATCTCATCACTTTCAGACGAATTCATTTCGGTCAGTTAAGAGCATTTCTAGGAACTAATGGTAGGAGAATGACGATTAATACAAACAGTTAAAGTGCATAATAAAACCGAACAAATTTAAGGTGAAGGGAAGGAGAAAAGAAACAAGCTAAAACTAACCGAACGAGTAAAGTACTCCAACAGCCATGCGTTGAGAGTAAATTATGAACAACACGATGAAAATGGATTCCGATTCCTAGTGAACAAATTCATAAATTAACATCAGGTACAGTGAGGTGAACAGAGAATACTTTTTTATCAGCCATTGAAAAATAATGGATTAAATGATGGAATAAATCACAGCGAATATTCTAGTCTATTTAGTTTAAAAACTGGGATTAAATTTCTGACTCAGAACAACTTACGTGAACAAATTTGTTCGTGCCCATTCATCAAAACTCTTAAAATATTTGGCACTGAGGGTCACGCCTTCCCAAAAATAGAACTTTGAAGCGGTCCAAGCTTTCACCGCAGATTCTTGTGCATGATGTGTAAAACCTTCTGGAGCATACTGGTCAACCTAGGAAACAAGAAACAGTCACATTTTACAATGGGTGATCTTAAAATGACATGGATATTACACTACAATTTTTTTTTAAATTCACTGAGCGATAAATTTCCTAAGACATATCGTCCGGCTAGATTAGCAACCCTGTATCTTGTTTGCAATGTTCGGGAGTCACCGCTCCTGAGTTATTTATTCAAAGGAGAGCAAATGGACATCATTCCTTGAAATTTTGCAAAAATTTCTTCACACAGAGATGTAAAATCACCACGGTTTTTAATAATTACCGTTGAGTTTTCAACTGTCCATTAAAATCTAGTAGACAAACAGATGTATGATAAAATTGTTTAATTTTCATGTATCAGATACTGGCATCTGACATTCGAAAATTCGAAATATCATCTGTCATTGGTGACTGACGCTGTGCCCAATAATTTGGATTTGCACACATCCTCAATGCAAAATACTTCCGACAAGAGTCATGAAAATAAGCAGAAAAGAACTTACCCATTTGATAAAATCAGGCCATTTTTGCTGGACATAAGAGGAAATAGTTTGTGCCGCCTTGACTGCGTTATTGTACACTACCAAAGAAGTTTCTTTTGCTAATATAGCATATGGTGTAGCAAACTCAACTGTTGCATTATAGTAGATGGGAGCATTTTTCACCGTCCACCTATAAATAGAGAAAATTATGAAAAAGTTAAATTGGTAATACCACAGAAAGGATACTGCCTAGTTTAATTTTTCTACTTGCAAAATTGCCTGGATGAAAAAACATATGTGAAATTTTCTTAATGCACTCATGTGGATCAAAGTGACTTGAAACCTATTAGTTAGACTTTTGATCAAAACAATCAGAAATTATATCTAGGTTTTTAGGGGTTGTTCATAAAATACGCAATGCTCTAGAGGGGGGAATGTCAAGGAAAGCGTTTTACACCACTCCGTTTTAATGTATTGAAAAATAGGGACTTGGGCCATGAAAGTGTTACGAGGAGGGAGGAAGGGAGGTTGAAAATTCTGACTTTAATGTTACATATTTTATGAACGGCTCCGTTAAAATATTAATTCTCTAAAGAGAGGTATGGCAAAGCAGCTCAGTGCAATGACAATACCTGCAAGAACCAAAAAAAGTTTAATTGAATTTCCCAACAATGAGGCTGAACAAAACATGACCTCTATCATAGAATTTATTTACTTATTGAGTTTCTAAAACTTATACTTCAATTCCTATTCACTAGAGCTTAAACTGTAGCTTCAAGTTATTCAGGGTGTCTAGTTTTTTTTTTCATTTTGGGAAATCCTGATTTATCCTGATTTTTGACAGGTACATCTGATCAAATCCTGATTTTTTGCGGAGAAAAATAAAAGTCCTGCATAAGCTTAAGCGAAAGCAGAACTCTAGAATTTCGGACGGCCGACTTTTCTCAAATCCTGATTTTGAGACCGATTTTTCCTCAAATCCTGATTGAATCGGGAAAATCCTGATGCTAGACACCCTGTTATTGCTAACAGTTCTGTCCTAATGATTTCAAATGTATCAATGGTGCTAAACATAGTAAATAATAAGAAATGAGTCTACTTGTAGAAAAGGTAGAAGAGGTCAACTTACTTGTGAGCCTGGTTGTAATAAACTTTGGATTTAGCAGAGGCTTGATCGACAAACTGCAGAGTTCCACTTTCTTTCAAGAAAACTCCTGTTTTGGATGCTACAAAAAGGTGAAAACAACAATGAGTATGAGTTGAATCAAACTAGTTACATAAGAACTTCAGCTATCGGGCACTTACAATAGAGGAGGATTAAGATATGAGCTATCAAAAGTCAGACTATAAGCAAACAATTTCCAGCTTGGTTTTTTCTTTGTTAACAAAATTAATTGCGACCACCAAATCTCAAAGGATACATAATTTTTTCTGTAGATTGAAACAATAATAACTGGTATCAAAACCAGGCCGCTGGTTTGGTATGGACACGTGCGGAGAATGGCAGATGGTAGGTTGCCCAGAAAGGTATTTGATTGGGTTCCTCCGGAAGAAGACGGCAAGAGCATCCAGTAAAAGGTTGGCGGGAGGGAAAAGAGGGGAGATCAGGCGGTGTAATCTACCCGATGGTTTGTGGGAGGATCGATTCTGATGGCGATTTGGAGTCGCAGAGCGCTCTAATGCACTGAGATAGCGGCTTGATATATATATATAACTAGTGCATATACTTTCATAATGGGACAGTTCACAGAATCGCATTTTGAATATTTAAGCTTGTAGATTGGCAAAAAATAATATGATCTGTCTAGGCGAAAGGTTTTCACATCCAACATGAATGGAGATATCACCCTACAAAACACAGTGTATGATGCCAGCCACTGCAATACTACATACAATTGTTTCTTTAACCTTGGGTTCATGAATTAACTGTGCACACAAAAAAAAATGCACAGGTTGTTGGACTGGAAATACTGATGAAACTAAGGTGGTAGATACCATGGTATGCACCACTACAGTGGATGATGTCATACGCTGTGATTTTTTAGTGATATCTCTGCCAATTTTGGACGAGGAAACTTGGTGTCTGCACAAATCTCACTTTTTTTTCCTGGCCTATGATCTGAAAAAATCAAAACTTAATTCTGTAACCAGCTCAACTGACCTACTCAAATAGAAATTAAGTACAGTGGAAATCGGATATTACGACATATCGGACAAAACGACCTGCGATCTGGTCGTACCTGTGATTGACTTCCCATTGACTCAATGTATTTGTGCATCGGTTATAACGACAATTGGATATAACGACCAAATCCGGCCAGTCCCTGAAGGGTTGTTGTATCCAATTTCCACTCTATTTGGAGGTGATATCAGTTTTTGTCTCTTATCCTCATGCTGCTTCTTCTTGGGAGTGCTTTTCACTGTCTACCGAAACAATTTAAGGACTTTGAGATTAAAAAAGAGGCAATTTAACTAATTCTCGATCGATATTCAAAGGGAGGATATTCAAAGCTTGATGAGTCTTACGACATGTCACCAAAACTAAGAAGCTATCCTGCTATTTTGGCAACTATCTATACTTACTTAAACCAAAGAGTGACAACTATTTCCTCAAATATGAGATTCAACCTAATGAATCGATAAATAGCTTTTTTATGAAAAGTTTTAAGGCAACTTCTCCGCCTAACAAAATCTGATGGGGCTTCACTAGTTTTATGTTTCCTCTTGTAATTTTTCTGTGGTGTGGATAGAGGAGCCAGAAATTGATAGTTTAAAATATCAAGTTGTCTAAAGACACAAAGTCAACTTTGTTATAATTTTTTCATTTAGCTTTTGTCCTCTTGGAACTCTAAAAAAAAATTTCCAGGGAAACTGTTTTGGTAAGTTCTTGAAAATCTGATCTTGAGGAACTTACCTTTAAAACTGCCATGTTTGTTGATATCATAGGCGATCAGCGATGCGGCTGCAAATATGATGACGAAAAGTAATACCTTCCATGAGAAGGAGGATTTCTGTTGTTTGCTGGCTTTTGATTTGGCGGACATTTTTGTTTGAGTAAGGCTCTGCAACAAAAAGAGAAGAGAAGATCATAAAATTAGAATACCATTTAACAAGTAAGTTCTAAAAGGTGTTAGGAAGGGGAGGGGTGGGGTGGGGTGTTGTGTGTGTCTGTTTAAATTGAGAATAACCACGATATCAATTAAATTGAGGATATAATTCTTCGAAACGAAAAAGGACCAACCTGAACAAAAAACATTATTCATTCAATGGTTCAAAACATGTCATATTATTAGATCATTATAGCTGATGTATAATGAAATGATCAACGCTGAAAGGGGGGGGGGGCTTAAACCAGGGAGACAAGATTAGGGATTTTCGGTGACAAATCCCTCCCCCTCTTCTTTCAAACATAAAAATGCTGGAAATCAGACATGGGCAACATAATGTCTCCTCTCAACTTTAAATTGGAAGAGCACCCAAATGTGAGGATAGGTTCGATGAGGAAAAGAGGAGGGTGTTCAGAGGATAAGATGAACAAACAAGTAAAACACAGACAGATGTAGCATTCATCAGGAAAATCTGAGTGTGGTTTTACTGTCGGAATCTGAGCAGGGTGGACATCACAGCTGACATTGAAACAGCTGGCAGGCAGATTAATTAAGTATTCAATGAGCTGCATTAGGACAGGTCGTTTAGTGGTGACGCTGCGTTACCACTTCCAGCAATAAGAAACTGGATTTTACTGAGAACGCGAATGCCTTTCAGTTCGACTGCACTGACTGATTTACAGTTGAAACAAGCTCAATAATATACAGCTTGATTGTTTGGAGATAAAATATTCCCAGAATAATAACTTGATTGAGCATGACGTTTTTTTTCTTTTTTTTTTCAAACATTATATTTTACAAACAAACTACAAGCTAAATTGTTCTCCAGGCAGATTGAATACCTAGTACACCCAGGAAGGACGCCATATGAGTCTTTAGATGTTGTCAAATTCCTTTGATAAAATCAGAATTTTCAGGAAAACTGCCGATTATTTTCCTTTCAATTTTTTAGATAATTTCATTTGCAGTTTATTTTAAATTAAAATGTACAAAAATACTGAGGGAAAATATACATAACTTTATATAAAAATTATGGTTTTATCGGAGAAATTTGGCAACGTCTCAATATTCATACGGCGTTATTCTTCAATACAGCAATATACAGGTGGCATGTTTCTTGCTGGATTAGCTACTTCTTTGTACATGCAGAAAAATTGCAACAATTTTTTTTTCCATACGTAACTTAACAATACGTCTATGGCCCTACTAATGAAAGTAATAGACTATTTTTAAGCAGAGGGAGCTTTGAAACATGCATTGACTTTTGAATGGCTTAAGGTAATGACATATGAAAGTTAAAACTTTGATACTTTTTTGGTGAGGCCAGCATTAAATGAGCCTCTCTCTTTCAGCAATACTCATTTAATTAATGTAACTTGATTAAATTATTTGTCTTTAATTTCAGTTTTTTCTGATATATTAAGTAGCTTGAGTTGTTGTAATTTGGCCTATTACTTAGATAGATTGTTGCACTGGATCTTTATTTTACTTGTTTTTAGACACACATTCCTTACATTTGTCAATAAATGAAGAAATAAGCTTTTTGCTCTTCCTTTGAGAAAGGGATAGGTAAGTAGGTAATACTTAGTTATTTAAAACTGGGATTTGATAAACAGGAGCTGTTGTCTGACAAGCTTCTATTATTGGTCAATACTTAATCAATAAATGAAATTTAAAAGAATATTTTTTAGAGCCTCATTCTGTGGGCTTACCTACATGTAAGTTTTATTTGGATTTGAATGATTAGATAAAGGAGCTTTGAGCGATAGATATGCAACTTAGGTTTTTCAGAGTTAGACCAGGAGACTTCAAAGATGAGGGGGATG